AGCAAGTTCTAGTAAATCTGATAGATTTTTTTAGTTTGTTGTTTTTGTTTTTTTTTTAAGTTCTTCCTGCTCTTGTGCAAGTTAAATGTAGATAGTTTAGGGATATTATTAAATATAAAGCCAGTTCTCTTTGATTTCAGTAACAGAGTTTGCCTTGTACAGGTGGAGACAAAAAGTCCTCTAAATGCATATTCCGGCTGGCAGTGATCTAATGTAACAGGGTAGATACTATGATTTTTTCTATGAAGGCAAGACCTTCATTCTTTTAAATACACTTACAACTTTTTCTGTAGGTATAAATAACACTTGTAGAGGGCATCGCATGATAGCTTAGGTTTTGCAGTAAAATAAATTATTTAATCAAACCTCTGACAGCCTAAGTGTATCTCTGCTCTGAATTTTAGAGCAGAGGAAACTGTTTTGGTGTTGTAGTTCATTTGGCTTTGTTGGCTTTTCTGCCTCAGAGCTGGTGTACCACATGTCCATTTTTTCCTAAGCTGTATTTGAACTCTTCTCCCCTTCAGATGCTTTGTAACCTAACTACCCTCAAATGAAGCAGTTCATTTATTCCATGGGCAGCGCAGGCACAAGTGTGAAATCCCTTCAAACATTATGGGTTTAACTTTTTTATAGGGGGCATTCCATTTGGCGGAATAAGTTGCATTTACCTTTTGCATCTGAGTTTTATCAATGATATATAAATGTTGTTTACTGTTAAAATGGTGCACAGTCTTTCTGTAGTGTCTGTTTCATTAGAGTAATTTAAAAAGAAAACCACTAAAACGATGTTACCGCTGGGTGTCTGATTGCCAAGTTAATCTCTTATCACAAGTCCCATTGATCTTCTGTTTGAGCAGCTGAGAGTCTATTTTATGTATAGTGATCTTTCATAAAGTTTATTCCTGGTAATAAAGCTAACTGGGGTGAGTGCCAAGCTATTCTCAGAGGCAATCCACTTTCAACAAGAGGAGGATTTTATTTTGTTAGATGGGGTTATTGTTTGGGTATGTACTTGTGGCAGAACTGGTGAAATTGCTAGCGAGTGAGTCAAACTGGGTTCAGAGGTGTACTCTTACTGGTATGAAGTTAATGGCATTACTGCACAATAGACATTCAGATCTGGCTTTTAATATGATGCCTAGAGTCACGTGCATTTTCTACTTATTACTATGTGGTATTACTAACTTGGATTGTTGATCTATTCTGTGGTGTGGCAAAAACCTTTATAAAAGAACCCAAAACCCCACCACAAAACAACAGAAAAAGCACTCCACCCTAGAATTGGATATGTATTAGTCACATTCAATATTCTTATGTGTAAGAAGAGGAAGTAATTTTAGTTCACAGAGAACACCAGTACTGGTTTCTCTGAAATTATGTTGTTTTTCAGATTTTTTAAATCTTTCTTCTAATAGTATTTGTGTTGATGTCGTTAGTGTCTTCACACCAAACATACCTGTAAATTAAAAAAATATAATTGAAAATATTAGTAGTTAACTTTGAGTAAAGTTACTTTATGAAAAGTCAAATTTTATTTTTAGTAAAGTGTACTTAAGCTATATTCCAGAGTTTCTGAAGTATTACTGTGTATTCAGGAGAATTTAATAGATGGCAGGGCACATGTTCCTTTGAGCCAACAGTTAGTTAATATTCTTGCAGCCGTATGCCACTTTTGGGAAGCCAGTGGTAGTTTTGTATAGCTCTATGCAAATGCTTGACATTGCGAGGACTGGTTACAGGTCCTGTGGTCTGTCTTGTTCAGCTCTTGTCTAAAAGCTGAACTCATGGGGGCTGGCACCTGCCTTCTAGGAAACCAGTCTCAAGCTATCTTGTCTCAGCCTGTTGCAGTAAATTTTAAATTACTGGCCAATATCTTCTCCTCCTGCTCTGGTGACCTGGATATACTGGAGTTCTTACAATTACTCATGGATGCAAGGGGTAAATGCAGGTGCAGATGGTGACAGGATCACATGGGTGTGCACATATTGCACACAGCACCCTTGGGATGGTAGGGGAATGGGGCAGGATTTGCAGCCCAGGTATTGAAATACCAAGCTGAGGAAGTAGATGGCATGCTGGGTCCTCAGTAGGAGGGAAGAGAGCAGAGGGATGCATTGTGCCCTGGTGTATGCCATGAACTAGGATGCTGGAGGGAATAATCTTTAGTAACTTCTGTCATGCTCAAAGCAGGTAGTGATGTCTCAGAACTACCTGAAATAGCTCTCATTGAAATTAGGGAGACAGGTCACTGCTCAAGCTGCTTTATTGGGCTCTTAGCAGATTCAGTCAGCCTAGCTGCATCCATTGCTCTTTCCACCTTCCAAGAGATGTGTTTATCATCAGTCATAAAATTTAACCTTCCGTATAATTTGTTCTTGGAATCAGGAGAAAAGCACACAAAAAACCTGGAACACACTTGTATCATTCAGTAACAGATTACTCTCCAAAGAGAAAGGATACATTATTATATACATATAAACAGACTGGAGAAAAAGAAAGGAGAAAATATCTATTATTTTAACTAATATTAACTGTTTGTAATCATGGTGGGAACAGACATTGTTTTCCTCTTACTCCTTATCTGTCATTCGAAGTTACTGATTTATTTTCCAATAATTGGCAACCAACTGCAAGTGATAGGTGGTCTGCTTTGCTGCCCTGCTTGTCCTGTGGTGGTCTGGATGGTGGCTTGGTGTGAAGATCTTTGCATGGTAACACAGAAGCAGCTCAGCTTTACCCAGACCATTGTACTATTGGAGCCACTGATACCACTTGTTAATCAGGGTGTATTATAGAGCATCAAAGTGTACAGATTTGTAATTACAACTAATGATGTCCTTATGTCATGGATGCTTTGAGCTGAAAAATGTGAGTGTGTCAGTAATTTAAGCATCAAGTAAAAGCCTGTATTTTAAACTATTTAGAGAGTCTTGTAAGACCTCTGAATCTCCTGGAACATAATGAAATTGAACAGTGTTCTCTGGCAGCTTTGCATTATTTCTTTAAAAACATGTATTTTTATCTGAAGCATTGTTCTAAAGTCAAACTTCAAGTGTTTTTAGGTTTTTGGTTGGTTGGGTTTTTTAACCCAGGTTAATTCTTTTCATATGGGACTTCTAATGTTGGATTTAAAACTCAATGCTAGTCTATACTGATTTTCATTTTTTTTAATATTAGATCAAATCAGGATTTCCTCTACAGAAAAAATATTTATTGTATGAATACCTTACACATAGATTTGGAAATAAAATACTGAAATGTTTGAGCTAATTAGAAATACTTCTAGTATAGAACTGACAAAGTTGAACTTTTACTAGAATAGTTTAAAATGTAATGCTGTTTTTCACTGGCTGAACATTGCTTTTGTCATATGTGTCATTTGACAGAGGTGACTGTAGATGAGAAATAGTCCACTTGAAATTAAACGGTTATTTCTTTAAAATGTAAAGCTTGTACTTAGCAACTGATCAGCAATATACTGTCTCCTGTGCTGATACAGCTTTATTGCATAGAAGAGAAAACCCATATATTATCGTGAAGCCATTATGTTTGATCTGTCTGGGACTTATTTAGCAAGTAAGAATGTTAATTTAGTGTATACTGGCTAAGATAACTAGTTGTCTGGGGGGGTCAAGGTACTGACTTCAGAGGCATTTCTGAACAAAGATGTTGCAGTTGGTGGGTGGATGGCACTGGTCTCAGCTGTTGTATGAGCTTGCATAAATAGTATCATCTCCACTTTAATCTTTCGGGTGTTCAGAGGTAGTGTGCATATTTCTGTTTAACCCCTGGACACTTGCTGGCATGCATGACCCTTTAACAATTCCTATCCCTCTGTCCATCCCTAGCACCTTGGCTCCAAACAGTCTGGGAGGATAGCCAGTAATTGTGAAGTTTTTTGTTAAGAACATCTCTTTAACAGAAAGATGTTTTCATTTCACTGGTATACACTTTCTATTGTGCTTGTTACAGTAGTGTATGGCACACTTCTGAAGTACTACTTGCATCTCCAGTGAGCAATACTTACTCTCTTTTGTGTGCAAAGATGGGTTAACAGATATTAAAACAAATGATGATGGTTACTGGCCTTTGGCATCAGGAAAAAAGCCTTTTTTTTTATATTTAAGAAAACAGCAACAAAGGCTGGAGCCATGTATTTCATAAAGAAGGTTGACTGTTGTGTTTTAGGATAGGCATTTGATTTACCTTACCTTAAATTTTGAGAATGAAAAGGATACTTAAACCTTCGGCCTTCATGAATCTGTCTCTGTGAAATTAGCATGCCTTTTTCTCACTGATTTTTATATTGCTTCGGAGGCATTGTTTTATAAGAGTAGTCTTAAAGATTATTTCTGAGGCTTGTGGATATTGTGCTTTGGAGGGAAGTATCAAAGACCTTTCAAAAATCAGAGGTTTCTGTGGATTCCTCTCAATTTTTTTTGATGAGGGAGAGGGAAAAGATGTAGACGGTGTATTATTGCAAGTGTTGCTTTTGACAAACTTCTGTCACTTCTAGTGCTATAAATTTAATCATTATCAAATACCAACATGGTAAGTGTAGCAAATGCAAAGAAGGACCAAAACAAACTTCAAAGTGATGTGACCTGAACTATTAGATCAATTGAAATAAGTGGAAAGAATCTTCCCTGAAACTAATACCTGTAAAGCCTTGTGCACAGAGAGAGAAAGTAAATGGCAAGGCTGGAAAATGGTTTGCAATAAGTTGGTTTCTGTTTTGTAGTGAAGACTGCACAGGTGCCAGCTTTGATATTGCTCAAATAATTGAGGTTTCTTTTGTGTAAGATGGAGCCCTGATGATTCTGGAGATGGTTCATCCAAGGATCTATATTGCTGAAATTTTGACTTGTTTAGTTTGTGTTAGAAGGAACGGAAGCAATAGTCATATTAAAATGCTAATAAGAAAATTGAAGGACACTGTAGGTGCTATTACATTATTGGACATCTTTTAGTTATATTATTCCCCCTTATTTTTTTTATAGCAAACTTTGGCCTGTTCCATTCTAACGGCGTTGTTGAGCGAGTTCTCAAGTTCAAGTAAAACCAGCAACATTGGACTAAGCATGGAGTTCCATGGTAACTGTAAACGTATATTTCAGGTAAACTAGTTCTGTACTGATATATGATACCTCTCTTTCTAAAATTTAAACACTGAGAAGCAGAAGTACTTTCCTGTGCCAGGTGCATTCAGGTGCACTGTGTCTTTAAAAGCGTTTATTAGAACAAATACTACAAAGGCAGATACTGGCTACTTCAGGAAAACTGATAATGTATTTTTAAAAAACTTGTATCAAGAAGGTGCAATCCCTTTGTGCCCATTTTGTGAATGTAGAGCTACAGATCTTTATGCGGTTGGGCTCTTAATTCCTTGGCTACCAATTGCAAACAAAACGAATACTCTGTGGAACAATGATAGTCTTAAATATAGCTTTGGTTTAAAGCCAAGGAGAGCTATGTATGTATTTAAAAATATTATTGCAGATGGTGTAGTCTGGTTGTCTCAGATGTATTGTTTGGCCAGTCAGAAATGTTTTCGTGAAGCCATTGCTTTAAACTGACTGTTGTGGAACAACTTACCAACTTTTTTTCATGCCAAAGACCAACTCTTTTCCACCAGTTATTTAAAAACATATTGTTTTTTAATCTTTTAACAACTGGCATTTACAGAAGATTTTTTTCATAGTCTTTGCAAATGTAATCAATTGATTTTGGCAAAAGGAGGGGATTCTCACTGACAACTTCAGAATATTTTCTGTATTGTAATGAAAAATAGGGTGAAACCAGAAAATTATTTTCTCTTTAGAAAAAATATTCCTTTTTAATCAGCATTTTAATTAATGACTGAGATACTCAATATATTGTGTTCGTCCTGACTATAGGAGGACGATCTGCGGCAGATCTTCATGCTCACGGTAGAGGTACTTCAGGAATTCAGCAGACGTGAAAACCTCAATGCTCAGATGTCTTCAGTGTTTCAGCGTTATCTTGCACTAGCCAATCAGGTCTTAAGCTGGAACTTCCTTCCTCCAAATTATATCCTTTTTATGTCAGGACTTTTGTTTCTGTTGACTTGGGTCACTTCCTACTGCGTGAGAAGTAAAGTCTTTGAAAGGAGAAAAAAAAGTAAAACTTTATAAACCTTATATTTAGTCCTTGATTTATATTTTCTTCCATGAGTGCTTTTGGTCACCACCATGCTTGCTAACAGAAGCTGCTGTTGCTCTTCATTAAAGTTTTAAAGTATTTTACATAAAAGACAAAACAAACAGAGCAGCCCTGTTACAGGTTCATGGTCTGTCTGGTTTGGTTCAGGGTTGAGGAAATGTGTAATATGCTGCTTTAGTGTAGAACCATATGGTGAAAAGTCTAAGTTCTGTTTAATTTTTATGCAGAGATCTGATCTGTCCTACTTTTCTCCTTCAGAAGAGAAAGGGGCAGGCAAATGTCCGATCTAGGAACATGCATGCTCAACCAACTCCCCATAAAAGAGCATGGTCGTATACTAGAACATAAAATAGATTCTCTTCAGTCTGAAAAAAATGTTTGATAGCTGAAAGAAGAAATGGCATCTCCTTTTAATGCAGGGGCTTCCACTGCTTCCATTTTGACATTTTTGTGATATGTGCTGATTATTAGTCCAGAGAAAGGTGGAGTTGGACAGTAGAGGAGGAAATGGGAATCAGAAGGAGAAAGGGTCTTAGTGAGGGAGAGAAGGAAAAAGATACAAAAATGTTCAGTCCAAAAAATGGGCTAGATGAATATTGTAGAAATATTCAATTACACTCCGTATTTAATAGGGGTTTAAGACAGCATATATAGTACATCATTATAGTACCTCTTTTAATAGCCAGACTGTCTTTAAGAAGCTCAACAAACCTTGCAAGAGCCAAATTTTTTATCTGTTTTATCAACTTTTTTATTAAAATGTTTGAAATGGCTACCAAGTTATACATACTGCAGGAATCTTGATGTTGCCTTCAAATACACTATGAGGGATTTTATTTGCTTTCCTAGTGTGGAAGTCAGAAGGTGATATCTCTGAGGTTTTGTTTTCTTTGAGTCTGTTCATTATACTGCAGGCAGCAAAAGTAAATTTATTTGAAACTGGATATTTCTTAGTTCACATCTGTAAAGCAGAATACCAGTTATATTGGCTATATGGAAGGTGCCATGGATTAAAAGTAAATACCCTGCTTCTGGTTGTCCCTGAAGTGATTTGGCAGAGGTTCAGAGAGGAATTTAGTGCATGTGCCTACAAGATGGACACTGTAGTCAAATTATTGCACCTTATAAAAGTTTTTGGAAGTGGATTTGGGATTTGTAAGAATTCAAATCATGTGTGAACACTTCTTCTAAGCTGTAATCTTAAGTAGAAGGGAAATGCTTTTGTGTTGTGCAGTGGTGATTCCCTCTGAATTTTAGTCTTGCTCTGTACAAACCTCTGATGTAGTCCTAAATACTGATCTTGTTACAGTTTGAAGTGAAGGCTATAGTTCTTCATGAGCTCTTTATCCCAGGCTAAGGTTTGTAGTGGTGGAGCTAAATAGATACAAGTAAGATGGTGAGCCTTGGGAGTTCTAGTTTTTCTTTATACATCCGTATAAATGAAGTTGATTTAGTCTGTAGATAGATGCTACTAAAGAAGTGTTAATAGAAATAGCAATGCAAGCCATACTGCTTCTTAAGGTTAACAATGTTTTCTACTACTTGGCCTACTTTAGATACTACAGTTGTTAGACAAATTCTGGCCATTTCTGGAGATTGGATGGACCTTTAGTGTGAACCACAAGTGCTCTTAATGGGTCTATTTCAAATATTTTCATAATTTCTGATCCGTTTGATACCATCTTTTTGTTTTCTACCACTGGATGTTTCATTTTGCAGTAAGAATTATAGCACCAACTTGGGTCTTCCTGCTCTATGTAGCAACCTGTTTTCACAGAAATTGGAATGTCCTCAATCATCCTTGAGAAATGTGGGTCTCAGCTGCCAAAGATTCAATACCTGTTGGGGTTTACAGCACCATGTTGATCGTATTGTGGCGTAAATCTCTCTTCCTTAAGAAGTCTGGTTTAAAAGTAACTGTTAATTGTTAGCTCATGGGCAGGGAAACTTAACTTGGCTGTAGTTTCTAAATACGTAGCACGTTACATGGAACGTAAGAATTGCTGTGTTGATTGACCGCTTGGCATCCTTTTGGTATCCTCTTTCCAAATCTTGACAGTACATGTGCTGAAGCCATGGGAATAAATTTAGTACTCGAAGCATGGAGTAAATCGATCCATTGTATCCTCAGATATATCGTTTTCCTTTAGTTGGTATTTCCCCTGGCAAGATAGTATTAATTCTCAGTATTCCCTGCAGCGTCACAGTGATCTGCAGTATATTTATGTAATCTTTAGTAAGATTCTTGTACCTTCAAAAAAGGGAAGTAGCATAAATGTGCATTAACTGTACAGTGACCATTGCAAGAGGCAGGTTATTTAAATCCCCAAGTTTGAGAATTGCATCAAAACATAGCACTTCTGAAGAGTTGTGTGCTGTTATGGGACAAGTGTTATAGGATAAGTGTTGCTTTGTTAAATGCAGTCTTGGACAGTGCTGCCACCAGTCCTGACAGAAGACTTGTAATAAGTCTGTATTGTCAATTGCCACCAGGAAAGACAAATTCTGAAATGGCCACCACATCGGAGCAACAAAAGAAGAGAGACTGGGGTCTACCTACTTTCAGATTGGAACTCAGTATTTTTAAAGTGTCTTTGGATGTAGTGCCTGCAATAGGAAGGACATGGCACAGTGACCTTGGAGGCCTCCCTTTGGTCATCTGCAATTTCTCCCATTTCATTTTCTGGCAATCATCTACTGTTATTTTTATGTGCTGCCTTGAGATACTAGTTCACCCGGTGTTTGCGGCTGATTCAGAGATAGTCTGTTGTGGCATGTTGGCTTCTGTACAGTTTCTTTTTTTCAGTGCTGTTACAGTACTGTTAAATATTGTTTACTCAAATAGACCTAGTTTTAACTGCATCTTTTCTTAAATGAATGTTTTTACTAATTAAGGAAGTGCAGGTGATCAGTATTAAGAGGTACAGCCATCTCCTTTACAAGACTGCCTTCATCTATTGCACTAGATAGAAGTTCAAGCTCACTCCTAGTACACTGTGAGTACCCTAAGTCTCTAGTTGGGGAGCTGAATGTTGCTGGATTTTAATGCACCTTGGCATGAACATGTATGTCCTGTGAAGTCAAGATGTAATTATAAATTATATTACTTTACCTCCAAAGGTGTTTCTCCCATCTTCTTGATTTTGGGATTTCTCTGTTCTTGGCAGCCACGTTCTAATGCGCTTTGGATGAATGTCCTCAAATGGAAAAGTTCTTCAGCAGACCATAAGATTTTTGTCCAGCTGTCTCCCATCTACAGACAGGTGTCTGTTATCTGTCATTAGAAGCTGTCATGGAAGTACTTATCCCTTATTCTCTTTAATGTGTAGGTCATAGTACATAAAGAGAAGCTTGAGCTTTAGTTCTTGTTTTGGATTTGGTGCCTTTACTTGTTTGGAGGCAAGCTGGCAAATTTTCTAATAAATGTAGAATAGGGGATTTAAAATGCAGGTTATGTAAACCTAATGAGTTGCACTGTGCTAATATGCATCGTTACCATTCCATTGAAGTTAATGGTGCAATGGGAGTTGTATGAACTGACTGAAGCTTTTGTCTGATCTGAACATTTTTGTGTGTGTTCCTTGGCTGCACAGTTAAAGGAAGAAAGCTTTTCATATCTCTGTTTTGAAAATGTCTTTTAAACCTCAAGCCAGAATGAGACACCTGTCTGGGAGATTCTGTGAACCATACCGTTCTGCAGACTTTCAAGATCTGAACTCAGTCCAACCCAGATTGGAAGCATCTGTTGCACATAATGGAAGTGCATGAAAACCACACAGAATGCTCCAGAAAACTCGAGATTTTGTTTTGGGAAGTTATTCAAGTTGGCATTGCTGCTGAAAAAACGCCCTGCCTTATCACCTCCCATGAGCATGATACTGAGCAGGGAACCACCTGGCATGGGGGTGTTTTTTTTATCGGGTCATGGTCCCCAGCTTGATTTGCTGCATAGCTACAGAAAGGATTCAACCTGTACCAAAGAGTTACAACACAGATTTCTTCAGCAGCACAGCTGCTTTTCATAGGCCTTGTTTTTAGCAGCCTGGAATTATCCTGAATTTACTACAACAGCCTGTCCTTATCTAAAAAATGAAGGGTTGGGGCATTGTCCTGGCTATTGTTTGGGATATAAAGAAAAATTCAGTGTAACTGAAATAGCTGTATTTATGAAACTGCAAAAGAGAGCTGCATTTTACTTTTCTTAGACTTACCACTTTTAGGTGAAAACTGACCTGACTTTGAAATCCTTGATGTTTATAAATTATTTCTAGGGTACTATATGTTTTCTTGGCAATCCTTTCTAGCAACTTTTTAAGACAACATTGGGCAAAAGCAGTAAGATTGATGGGTCCCCTGAATTTGATCACAATTGCACTAAAGATACTTATATTGATACTGAACTTTTTAACTACTAGTCTTTCATCATTTAGGTTTTCCTGAATGAATTTTGAAATCAGGTTGCAATGTAAGAGCATCTTAGTAATCACCATTTTTATGAAGGGGAGCTGATGTTCTGCTCGCTTGCCCCAGTAGTTTAATTTTCCAGTTTTTTAAGGATAGTCATCAGCATCCTAGATGGCAGCCACTATGACTTGTAAGCCGCATCTGCATGGCAACTACTTGTGCATAGGTGCTTTAAATGCAAATTAGGCTTGGGGTGATTAGCTTGCATACCATTAACTGTATAACCATAGCAGCAGAATGTACCAGGAATTGGTGAATCCACTTGGGTGGTCATGAGCCTTGGTACTGGAATGGCTAAACTGCTAGGGGCTCTGGGATTGGCCAGGTTTAAAATTAGCTTGGGTGTTCCTACACTTCCTCCCCCTGTTGCTGCAATCTGAGTCCAGTGTCTCCAACACAAAATACTGTTTCATTCTCATGGTAGTTAAGAATACTTGTGTTTAATAATTAAATATTTAAGCATATGTTCCTTGTCCTGGTTCCTGCATGTATTTGCCAAGAGTGTAAGGTATGGAAAGGTCTGTGAGGAATTTCTCCATAGGGGGCAGCAAGCCTCTGCATCAGTTTTAGGCAGTTGCTCCTTGGACTCATCCCATGTTCTTGGCTGACTAGCTAGAAAGGCAGAGGAGGTCTTAAAAATCCGAATAAAATCAGTATGTTAACAGTGTATGGCAGATCTCCAAGCACTTACCTTTCTAATGCAGTTTTTTAATTGTAAAATGCAAGTCTGAGACTGGCACAAAGCTGTCCAGAGATATTTCAAACAACAAAGGTAAAGTGATTAAAATAACTTTTAAGAAAGATATTTGGACCTTAGCACTCCGGGAGCTTTTCCTCCATTTCTGAGATGTTCTTCACTCCTGTGGACAAATTTGTGAATGGGATTCTAGCAGGAGAAATCTCAGCTTTGATTATTGAGTTCCAAACTTACTACTTTGTGGAAGAACAAGACTTGCCTCTCTTAGGGAAAGAGACTGTGGGGTCCATTCTCAGATACTGGAATTTGTAGCAAGTACTGAAGTGAAACATTATAATCCCTCATGGCTGCCTTAGGATATGAAATATTCTGATATGCATCTTCACTGATCAGACCCTTCCTGGGACAGAGGCTAAGAGTGGGAGGAAAACTCCACATTTGCTGGTCTTTTATTTTCTTAATATGTTTCTCCAAGAAGCACATAAAACCTCGAACTTTGTTTTCTAAATTAGTTTTAAAAATTTGTAAGTTTAAAAAGACTACTCGTATTTTTCCAGCTCATGAAACAAAACCAAGCATAATGTCTACATGCATAAATTTAGCAAAGATAAAAGAAAATCTCTCTTTAAACATTATGGTCTTCTCCTTTTCCTCTCTAGACACTAATAGTGAGCATATGAGCCTTATCATACATGAAGGCATCTAGTTATATTCTTATGCTTTTCAGAAGCGTTTGGTTCACGTTATTGAATAATCTGTTCTGATTCATGCAGAAGATTCTACTCTCTGAAGGAATCAGTGCCTTAAGCCTTGCAAAATAGGTAAAACTTTGACATGCTTTTGGTAGCTATTTCCTAGCCTGAATTTCCATGTCATTCAACGTGAATTGTAGTAAGAGTTAATAATTCCTCAGTTGAACTAGGAATGTTAGAAGCATTTGTATTATTACCAGAAGTGGTTTACAAATGTTTTTCATTTTAGAAACAAATAGAAAACCCCCCGAACTCTCCAGGATGTCACGGTAGACTGATCTATGCTTATCATAAATCTCTATTAAAAGTCTAAATCATAAGTCTAAGCTTGAGTGCTTAGAAAAAAAGTGTTGTTCTAGTACTGTACTTTTTGTTTCTTCATAAGTATTGAGAAGTAAATTAATTTTGGGTGATGAAGACTGCATTTGTCCTGTGTAACCCATGTACTCAGGTAATTAGTGCCATTTTTTTCAGATTTGGCATAACTAGACTGCTGCTAATAAGGCTGAACCATAGCACAGTATAAACTGGGGTATTTCTTGGCAGCAAGCATCTCCACAGCCAACTTCTGGTAATGTTTGCATACATTTAGTACGTGATGGAAAATGGGTTCAAGATCTCCATTGATAGGTGGAGGCATAATTTGTGATGTTCAGTGAACAGATATTTTACCCACAAATCTCCTATTGTCAGATGTGTCATCAGTCCATTAGCGTGAGAAACAGGACTAAAAATAACAGGATAGGGCTGCTAAATAGTGAGCCTTGTTAAAATAGTGACAGCAAACTAGCCCTTCTTTCATTCCACATGAAAAGTGTTTTGTAGCTGATCCCCTCTGTGGGCTCAACCTAGCAAAGAACAAATTTATTTTAAGAGATCGATATTGTATCTGTGATTGTCTTCTGATATTGGTATGTTCACAGCAAAGGGCATTCTTGTCAGTAAATGGTTTTAAAATACCATTTTGACTAAAACATTCCACATGAAAAGGAAAAAAAGACATATCTTAATTTGCCAGGTAAAATTAGTTTTAATTTGTAATATTGTTCCTGATAAAGCATGTTTACTTGTGATAATTTCATGCCCATATTTTAATTTTTATTTTTTTTTCCACTGGGGAGAACCCCAAACCATTTTTGATCACTTAAATTGTGTCTGTCTCTCAGAGGGAAGTAAAATAGAAAGTTCTGTAATTTTTAGCGTTTCTCCGTTTGAAAGAATGCAGATCTGGTATGGTTCAACATACACTGATAATTTTTAAAACTGTGAAACTGGTTTTGTTTTACACTAATGTGAAAATATCTGATTGTTCTTAGGCAGTATAACGTGCTGACAGAAGTTCTGGACACATAGCACCAGTGAAGGTACACTTGGTACTGTGCTGTGGAAAAAAACCCTTTTTTGGAATGTGGTTTTGCACAGTTTTGTTAGGAATTTTGTTTTGTGGCAGAACTCAGAAGACACATGTAACTAAACTAAAAGTGTGCATCCCATGTTTTGACACAATTCTTCTTATTAAACTAGATGCTTACTTTAAATATTATTCCCTCAAACAAAACCCATCGAAAGTTAAGGGGTCTACTGTCTTGCATGATACCATTGTAGAATTAATTTTTTTCTAGACATAGAAATAGGTTTTTATACACATTTTTTTATAATACCTGATTACTTACAGTACAAAAGTTAATGCAGTTCATTACCAGTAAGTAAATTACGTGCAGCTGAACATGCTGTTACTTACTCTGACGGTTGGGTTAGAAAGGGATCAAGGAGGATAATGTAGGGTTTAAGAAAGACAAATAAAACGTAAGTTGCTGAGTTAAAGCGTTTTTACTACTACTTGGATTGGGTGGTGTCACAAAAGGAAGCACTTCAGAAATCTTTGAACGCTCTTCTGTGTGACCAGACTGACAAAGAATTGAACCTGCTTGTTTAAATATTTTTGCTTACGTCTCTGTTTTTTCTGTACTAGAACATTTGCAGAATTTTGTAAATTAAGTTATGCCAAAATATGTGGTGAGAGCTGAAATGAGTGCAGTAAAATCATGGCTTCACAGTGTGCTCATTTTTCACATGCATCTCTTACAAACATGTTTAATATGACGATGCCTTGTGCTGTCTTATGCTTTTGTTCTCAGTGTGATTAGAAAACGTAGATTCATGCAGAGCTAACATATCTGTATTCTGTGATGCATATTTGGCTATTTAGAAAAATAGGATATAGATTTCAATGAGCTATCTTTAGCTATGGTAAGACCTTTTTAAAAGCTGCCAGGAAAATTTTTTAGAAAATTATTTCCTATTTTGCATAAATTTTAACACCTGTTAATGGCGGTCGCTTTTTTCCCTTCTCGCTGTGTCGCATTAGACACCCTGGTTATCAAAGTGATCGTATCGCTATGGTATGTCTCATAATTATGATCAAACTGTTATCTAACATTCCTGGAGCATTCTTTTTTTCAATACTTAATACCTTTTATTCCTTGGCCTCATGCATGAATTATGCTGTGTATGTGAAGAGGCTTAAAGTTTGTTTCCATTACATTCTTTCTGAATGGATCCTGTTGTATCTAGGATTTTTTTAAAGCCAAGTAGGAATGTTATTGTTGACCTTGACACCAGATAACTGGGCAGACATTATATAGCTATGTTTGAATCCTCACAAAATGTGATGCTAAAGCCAACAGAATCCTGGCGCGAGACTCTCCTGGACAGCAGAGTTATGGAGCTTTTCTTTACAGTAAGTTTCTTTCTTCAACTTTCATAGTCCAGACCACAGGGAAAGCAGCTCCTTCCTGTTCTAAAACTGTATTGTTGGACTCTTCCTTTTGCATCAGGTAGGACTGATTCTGTTAAATTCAGCTTGCTTATCAAAGCAGACAGAAGGATTGTCTTTTTCCTAGGTTTGAATATATATTTTGCCTATTAATTGTTTTAAATTGATAACCATTAGCTAAAGAAAAAGGTATTATAGTTATCTAAACTTTTTTACATTTAATGCTTTTGGACGTATTCTCATCAGACAAAACCAAGCCTGATGAGCAGTAGTAGAGTATATCTTTCAGATAAGTGTAAGGGCTCTCAGAAAAGATCAAATGAGCAGTTTGTGTTTGTAGATCTTAAAACATTTACTCAAGGGAACAGCTGAAAATAAATAATGTAGTTGTAGTTTTCTAGCCAGTTTCAGCATACAGAATTCTCTACCTCTTTCCTCAGCACAAAGTAAATCCAAACAAGTTAAAATAGAAAATAAGCTAGAGGGATGAGGAAGAAGTAGTGTTGAGAGAGGGGAACTCAATTTCCTTAACTTAAAAACCCTACAGTTTTAAAAATGGATAAAACTAGTATTGTTTTCTTTCTGTAACTGTTGGGAGAAGTTTGTAGTTATTGCTCAGCAAGGACTTAACTGCAGCAGCAAGATATATTGACTTATAAATTCATTTACTATGCGATTTAACTTACATTACATCTCTTGGGACCTGAGAATTCAGCATTGTCATGCTTTTTTCATTTTTGCAAAGCAGAGAAATGATGTGCTCGAAACTTGGACAAAGTTGTCATTAGACAATGTGAATTTAACTCTCTAGTGCTGCTTGACAGTATGTTTGGATATATGTCCTTACTTTATAGGATTTTTTGATAAATTTAATTTTTTTTAAAACTTGCAATAAAAGTAAAGATTTATCTGTTCCAGTAGTTTTGAAAAGGTGAAAAAAATCACTGGCAGAACTCTTAGCAGCTACACACAATCTGAACAGCTGTCTAGACTATCCAGACAGTTGCTACTGTCAGCTGTGAACCTCCACATGCAAATAACTTTTTGGCTTACATGTGAACCCTTCCTCATTTAATAGTATGAACTTGTCAGAGTTAGGTATCCGTTTCCTTGGTTGGTTTACAGTTACTGATTTGTGATAAGAAAAAAAAATTTGAATAATATACAGATTTGTTTTAGTACATTTGCGTGTTACTTAATAGTAACCAAAGCTTGCCTGTGCTTCACTGAACACTAGCCAGGGCAGTATGCTGTCTGTTTTGGTTTTAGATTCCTGATTTGCAGTGGTTGAGCCTTGTAGTAGTAGCTTGCTGTTTGAAGTAACATAAGTGACTGGTAGTAATTTTTATTCACTTATCTGATCTGAGAAATTTTAATAACCTTGCAAAAATTGGCTGGACTGCCATGTTAAAGTGAGTGCCTCCAGTTCTAATCTCAGCCTCGTGTGGGTTGTATATTAGGAAGGGTATTTCTGTTGCAGGGTTTGTTTCTCCTGCTAGTTTGATCTTTCAGGGATTAACTTTGCAGCTAATCCAACTAGTTATGAGTTGGGTGAACTTGCAACTATAACACCACAGAGAAATGGTTAGTGTTTTAACTATACTTTTATATGTAATATTGCTGAAATAATTTAACTAAATTTTGCTGCTGGCTGAAAAAACTACTCTGTATTTCTTTATTTATCCAATAAATCTTATGTGAAAAAATAGGAGGCATGAGCCCAAGAAAATTCTTTAAATCCGTTCTTGACGATTCAGATAAGTATGTGAGAATATGTTTGTTGAAATAGTAAGATTTTAATCTAGAAAGTCTCAACAACAGAAGTAATGACATAACAGTTTGCAGAAATACAGGAAGATTACTGTTGATCTTGTATAACATGAGGGTGTTGCCAAGGAAGTGATGCATTCATTTTTGTATATGTCTTCAGTGTTTACCTCTGCTAAAGAAGCATCTATATAATCTTGATTGAACTCGTTGACTAACTTTAGCAAGACTCTATAGCCTAGGCATAGTTAGCATAATAGAGATGACTGTCATTATTGCTGTTTTTAGAAAGAGCAGCATGTCTGACTGGCTGGCATCTGTTTCCCTCTTTAAGACATAACATTCAGTAGACAGTTCAATTTTCAACATGTAGGTGAGCCTTAACTAAATGTTAGTTTCAGTGAGCTAACTCACAGCTTACGATTTTGTGAGCTGAGTCACTATCTCGACATTTGCCATGGTTTAGGGAGTTATAGAAACCCTTGCATTTCAGACTGAATGGAAGTTATAGTAAGCTTTTTTTGGTGTGTGCTCTTTTGGATTGAGAGCCATGTGACTGTTTTAAGAACACCCTGTTTTCATGTATTATTAACTACCTCACTTCCTGAAAGGTACATCGAAAAATCAGAGAAGATACAGATATGGCCCAAGATTCATTACAGTGCCTGGCACAGCTGGCGTCTTTGCACGGGCCAGTCTTTCCTGATGAAGGTTCACAAGTTGATTACCTGGCACACTTCATTGAGGGATTACTGAATACTATCAATGGGTATGTATGCCTGCTCTCTAAATTTAGATGGCATCTTTTAATCTTCAGTTTGGGGTGTAGCATATCTGTGTGGAGAAGTGGTATGGCTTGCTTATTTCTGGGTATAATTTGTATGTACTGTTGAAAGAAAAGGCAATTTAAAGTAGGTAGTGCTTACATAATATGAAGTAGATTTATTGATTGAAAGTGTATCAACAAAACCTATTCCCTTTTAACATTTTTCTTAATGGCAAAAACCTGCTGTTTCTATCTATAGAATTGAAATAGAAGACTCTGAAGCAGTGGGAATTTCCAGTATTATCAGCAACCTGATAACTGTATTTCCTCGCAATATTTTAACGGCCATTCCAAATGAACTTTTCTCTTCATTTGTAAACTGCCTCGCACACCTCACCTGTTCCTTTGGAAGAAGTGCTGCCTTGGAAGAAGTGGTAAGTAGCTGCAAATAGGAGGTAATCTTTTTTGTTTCTCTCTAATTGTGATAAGCACAAGCGACAGGAGGATTTGGCTGTTTTGTTAATAACTGTTGTGAATTCAGTGGTTTTGTCCTAGATTTCTGAAATCCTTTCTAGAGAGTTTTCTTTTCATTTCATGCAATGTAATGAACAAAATTACACACTTTTTTCATCTTTCAGATTTTGTTTTGATTTAAAATACTTGTCTTAAATTTTTAATTTTAAAAAGAATGGATTAATTTAAAAATATTGAAGTCTTAGATATTGCTGACTTGCTGTTGTAGGACTTCTCTGAAAACTGTTGTAGGTAGTAAACAAGCTACAGTCCCAAAAGCTTAAAATGACTATGTGAACATATGGACAGACTGCAAATTAACTGCTGTCAAGAGTTCTGTTTCAGGGTTTCTGTTTTAAGTGAATGTAGCCATTAAGATCTGTTGTTAACTCCAGATTTCTAAGCTGTTCAGATCATGCCTTCATCACTGACACAGTTCAAACGGTAATTGTGTGTACAAATCTAGCACAGGAACTAAGAGGATTTTCTTCTCTTCTTTCAAATTTTGGTTGTAACACTAAAGACCAATGGGGAAGTCCAAGTTTTCTGCTTCTAAAAATTGCATTAGAAATAAAAACCCCTAAGGAGACCTAGTTCAAGGGAAAAAAACCCCCATAAAAATTAAGGTGAATAATCATCCACTTCAGCTATTTATATGCAGTAGATGTAGATATAAAATGAGATTATCAAGATACCAATATTTCCCTATTAACATGAGAAAGTATGATTTTTTTTTTTTCTCGTTTCGTATAATGACTAAGGTTAATTACCTGAGTTTGAAAATAATTATAGAAGTATTTAGTTACAAAGTTGACGGACATGTTTCGTTACTAGAGAACATAGGTGTGTTAATTAGCATTCATTGCAGGGCATTAAATCATCTCTTCACTGCAAGGTTAAAATGTATTACATTTGGCCCAGTGCTCACTTAAACTTTAAAGTTTTTTCATATCTTAATCAAAAAATTGGTGATTAAATATAGAGTCTGAAATACAGCTACTTTCCAGACCTTATTGGTCAAATTTTGCTCTGCTTTTGGAATTTTCTAGTAGAACATTGAACATGTGTTCTAGTGCTCACCGATACATTTAGGAATGCTCCTGAAGCCCTTATAGAAAAGATTTAGTAAAAACCACAGTCAGCTGTCATTTAAATTCAAGGGACTAAAGGGATGTTGTTTCCTCAGTTAGCCTCTTGTTACTTGAGGACTAGAATAAGCAATCATATTTAATGAAAACAGTGCTCAACATAATGCCATTCAAAACACTTAATTTCTCAGCAAAATCTTACAATAGCATGTACGCTATCTGATAAAAAGTTTATTTTGGAAATGACTAGCTAGTTATGCCTAGTAAACTGTGGCTGCTACACATATTTAATCCCATAGGTTTTGCTGAAGAAACTTCTGTCAGTATTAAATGTTCTCAGATTAAGCAGCATCAAAACGAGGATGCAAGAGGGTTTTTTTTTTGTTATTGTTGTTTGGGGGAATTTTCTCACTGTCCTTCAATCTTTAAATCATCCTGTGAAAAGAGGAACATTACGCTTTCACCCCTCCTGTTCTGTTACTGCTCTTATAGGTGTCTCAACTTCATGTTGTTTCATGCTCTTATAGGTGTCTCAACTTCATCATTTTCAGAATGATACAGAATTCTGTAGTGATGTGCCTTCCAAAAAAGAATGCTTATATCTTAACAGTGCATGAGCAATAAGGCGTGCTACCAAGACTTTCAAGTTACTGCTAACTTAGTCCTGATGGTGTAATGTGTGCTGTGTCTGTAGAAGTACTATTTTGCATCCCTGGAAACGATCTTTTGGCTTAGGAATGTCCCAGCCATGATTAATGTGTTCCCCAAGCTTCTTGCTTAGAATGTGTGTAGTGATACCTTCTGTGAGCTCATGTGCTGTCTGCAATTAAGAGCTTTTTGATATATAAAATACCATGTGTGTTGGGCTCAGTAGAGTTCTCAGAGCTTTTCAGAAATACGAAGTGCAGCAGAAGGCTGGCAGGCATACTCCTTAAGCTTTGCTGGTTAAAAAAGCTGTTTTCCTCATATTTCTGCCACTTTGTGTGCCAGCAGAACGTATCATGTGAACACAGCAGAAAGCCCATGAGGGACAAGGAATCTATTTTGCTCAAGATCTGCTATGAAAACTGTCAAAACGTGGAGGCACTGGATCAAAACATGCAAACCACTTCAAAGCAGCTAATAGTGATTTTCAACCAAGGGGGGAAACCCACAATCTAAATATCATGTTCAAACTGTTTCACATTAACCTGCCGCTTAGGGTTGGAGGGATTGACTGAAGGAAGTTTGAACATTTGCCTGAACAGCTATGCTAATGGAGGGAGAGCAGTAAGCTTCAGCAATGCTGGTTTATGGTGCAAGTTGGACCAGTAATCTCTTCCTTTAATGGCACTAGGTCTGAGAGAAAATACTTGTCCACAGCTATGCTCCACCTTGCTTAACACCTCATGCTTTTGCAAAAGTAGAAATCAAATAGTCCCTCTGAAGTAGTGAAGAGTTTAAACAGGATGTTGGATGAAAAGTCAAATTATATTTGACTTTAATTTGACTTTAAATAAAGAAACTATATCAAAGGCTTCTTTTTCTTGAACTGAATCTTAATGCGTTGTTCTGTTTCATGATATTTTTTAAGTATCATGTGATGGCAGAGATCATTCCGAATTTGGTCTTCTCTGCTGTGCTTCCAACGCTTTCTAGCTTATGGCTGCTTGACAATTTTTTGTAGTGTTCGTTCTTCAAAGGGTCAGCAAACTGTGAAGGAAGAAGGAACAAATTTCTTCTTGTTTCCTGTAGTAGAGGAATTAAGCATTTTTGCTTTAACTTTGTTGGTTTTATCTTGCCTTTCTTGAAGATCTGAGTTCTGATCCATCAGAATGATTAAGCTCTCCAGTCTACAGCACAACACTTTATCCGTAGGACATCTTCAGTAGCTCAGCTGTAGGTAATCTGAAATAAGGATTGGGATTTTTAGTAAGGTTTCTTTGGGACCGTATTGGTTCAATATGGATAAAATCTTTCTACTATTGGGCATGTACTTTATAGAGGCATATTAGTCCTAGATTGCTTATGAGAATACCTTAGAGTTAAAATAATTTTTTCTTCATGACATTATCTTCTTTATTACCTTTTCAAATAAATGAAGTGGGTGTATTTTGAGGGTATTTTGTTGTTCATAAAGACGTGTGTTTATTTGCTTATGCTCTTGATTCTTATAAATTATGAAAAGTTGTATGTGGGTTAATAGATGTAAATATATTACATACATATAAAAATATTTTAGGATTGAATGTCTGTAAATTCATGTGACCTTTAGCCAAGTTTTAAAAAGATGTGTTATGTTGTCCTTCCCAAATTTGTGACTTATGTCAGTGTTGAATGCAATTTTGCCTCTCTCCTTGTCATCTTCAGCTTTTGGTTTTGCAATTGCATCAGTGTGTCCCATATTTTAACTTATGCGAATAAGACCACTTTGCAGTTACAAAATGATGTGGTGAAGCTATCTTGAAACACTTCCAGTATGATATCAGTTCTTTCTCTTAATCAGCCAATGTTTTCTTTTCCTTGCCTGTTCATTCAACCATGTTTGTAACTTCACTGAAAGTCAGGAATTCTTGTGTCTGGAGCATGATTAAGGCCTTAATGTCTCTTTATTTCATCAATGAACCATTTTACTAAGCTCTGCTATCTGAAAGTAACTTCTGTGAGCCATCCTGTTGGTTAAAACTTGAGAAGACTTCTTAGAGGGAGTTTAGCGTCTTAGCAGCATGTTTATCTGTACAGTCACACTGGAGTTATTGGAGGTTGGATATATTTACAAAAGTTCAATTTTTACATCAAGACAAAAAGTTGATAGTTATATTAAAAATATTTTTAAAATAAATGGCCTCTTTGCTGTTTGGGTTTTTTAGTCTGCCTGTAACCCAGGACTTTGTATTTCAGATAAGTTGTTTCCTTCTGCAGCTTAAGTGCTACGTAGAAGCACATATGAATAATTAGAAACATGAAGCCTCAGCTGAAATACACCAAGTAATTGGAGGTGCAGGCATTTCCACTGTTTTTTTTGGTTTGCTGATAGAATGAGAAGTTGTGATTATTCATCAAAACTGGCTACCTGGAGTAAGGTTTCTTGAACACATGGCAGTCTTGCAGTAATTTCCTGTGGAACAGAGAATCGTCTTTTCTGTCTCTTTATTTCAGTAGTAGTGGAATACATATAAATCCATATGCAACATCAAATGAAGAGAAACAGCTAAACACACTGATAGCTTTTTAAAAGCCTAGCAAGCATGAAAGCTGCACTGACCTTTTTGATGCATTGCTTCAATCTTGGCTATCCTTAGATGGGTTTTGTGACTGATTTCTTTTTGTTTCAACAGTAGAAGAACATCTGTTTAATAATGAATATAAGCACGTTCCTGTGGTTTAGTTTAGGAATAAGATTTTTCATTTGTTTCTTTCATCTCTTACAGCTTGACAAAGATGACATGGTGTATATGGAGGCATATGATAAGTTACTGGAATCTTGGCTTACTTTGGTACAAGATGACAAACATTTCCATAAAGGTTTCTTTACCCAACATGCTGTTCAAGTCTTTAATTCCTACATTCAGTGCCATCTAGCTGCTCCTGATGGCACAAGGAATTTGGTAAGCCCTCATTTTAGTAGATTTTGATGATGACATATAGTAGCTAGCCCATGTCTTTTGGTGTGTATATATTATGTAACTCAAGGCCGCGAGTATAGAATTGCTATTTGTGGCTTTGGAAATGAAAAAATTGACAAATTTGTTACTCAGTTGTCATTTCCCAGTCTGTTTCTCACATTCTGAAGAGGAAATAAAGAAATGCAATGTTGGAAATCACTTAAAAAAATTAGATAAAAATAAACCTGTAACTCGGATCAATGTGTATCTTGCTTTCTTCCCACAGATACAGTGACTAAACTTTTGACCATCCTTCTCTGGATGTCCTTAGAGACCTGATCAAAATTCTCAGTGAAGAAATTGAAAGCCTATTTTATGATTGTTAGCTCCCATACATTACCTTCAAAGTATAATGCATAAATATCTGAAAAAATGTGGGCTGACTGTGCTCAGGATAGAAGAAACTTGGAATATCATGTGGTCCTTTAGGATAATTTGAATTCCTGGTTGAATTTTTGAACAGGTGACTGTTCTAAAGAAAGCCTAAAAGTACATCAAGTATCTCTGTAGCCATTGAGAAAGAAAGCAGATTAGTATATTTGCAAGTAGTCTGGATCTTTCTAGAATAGATTCTTATGCCGAAAGCTGGGTGTAGATGTTAGATGAATTAATTATTGCATAGATTCAATTCGATAACTGTATAAAATCTCTCTTTAGTTTGATGCTGTGCAAAGATCTCTGAGATACCTCATTCTGAAAAGCACTGCATAAAACTTAATTCTGCTATCTCGATATGTAACAGATGGTAATAACAGTGCCAAAACCAAGAGAAATATTTCACAAGAGAACTTTGAATTCATATCAGGCGGTCTTGACATAACTTGTATACACAGGTTAATTCATGTCATTCTGTGAGATAAGTCATTTATCCCATGGGTAACCTTTTAAAAGCCACAGCTGGCATTTTAGAATGCTTCTTGTTCAATATCAAAGCAGTAACAGGAACTTTCAATCCCTACTTTGAGAGCAGAGGCTCACCCTTCAGTAAACAGCTGCAACTTTGAAGCTGCCAAAAGAGAATGATTTGCTGGGTTACATAAAGAAAAGATGGGTTAGAAGCACTTGGTATAAGGAGTTGTGTGTGGATTCAGTTTTCCAGGACCTGTAGAAATAAAGCAAACTGATAGCTTTCTCTCTCTTATATTTTACTTTGTTACCTGCATAAATTTTATGAGTATTCAAGAGATTTTGAAAACTTTTAATACTGATACTTAGTTTCTACATATCATGGTTCATCTCTTCAAGGAGTAAGATCTGATTATTATTTAAATAGTTTTATAATGCAACCACGATAAACTGTGAGAAATTGAACAGTGCAACTTTGCATCAACAAAAAATAAAACTGAGATGATTATTAGTCTTCTGTTTTCCTGAGGTTATAGCATTCACTTTTTAAAGTACTTTTTTATTTTTAAATAGTACTTTTTAAACTACTATTTCCTTTCAAACAGTAGGTTATGGAAAATAATAAAAGAGATGATTTTCATTTCATCTTGAAAAATAGTACCTATTACATGATTTCTGTAAGATCTCAGACAACTGACAACAATATCTTTGACTAATGAATAGGAAAAAGCATGGAAGTTCCAGTATTTAAAATGGTTCTTGGTTTGCTATATACGTGATTTGAAATACAAATGTACTTCAACAATCTTTTGATCATTGGTTTTGGAGGCCATCTCTGTGAGCCAGACTAATTCAGTACCTTATATCACAATTCTAGCAGTGGATGTACAACAGAGCTGATTTATAAAATGTAAAGAAGCTTCTTTGCTATTGAACAACTTGTGTTTATACTATTAATAACAAGTATCAATTTTCATAAGTCCTATTCTTGAGTCTTTTCACACTGAATGTTTTTACTTGAGAGCACTATTGGACACAGTAGCAAATAGACAAATTAACTGTGTGACATTTTGCTAATGAGTTTGTGAAATGCTGGTTTTAAAACAATATGAACCCATGTTGACTCTGTTTAACTCTTCAGTGTTTAATTTAGTACAAATTTGTTGTTCATCCATGCAAAACACCTTGAAAGAAAGAGCCAAAATAATGCAGAAAACTGATGATGGTAAATTTAACAAGTATGACTCTTAACTGGTTGCTTCTAATTTTGTTGAAATAACCAAAGACTGCCAATGGTGTGGCCTCTCGGGAAGAAGAAGAAATAAGTGAGCTGCAGGAAGATGACAGAGACCAATTCTGTGACCAGTTGGCCAGTGTAGGCATGCTGGGGAGAATTGCTGCAGAACACTGTATACCTCTTCTTACAAGGTAAGTACAAAAAAAATAGTCATGAATGCAAGTCAGTAATACCATCACATATGAAAAGCCTGACTTGGCCGAAACAATTTAAAAGCAGAGCTGTTATTTTATTGTTATTTGTCCACAGTTTGTTAGAAGACCGAGTGACAAGGCTCCATGGTCAGTTGCAAAGACATCAGCAGCAGTTACTTGCCTCACCAGCATCAGGTTCAATTGACAATAAAGTGCTTGATGACCTGTATGAGGATATTCATTGGCTTATTTTAGTCACAGGTTAGTGAACAGCTTTAAATAGTACTAATTCTGGTAGTCTTGTTGCAACTGGGACATCTTAAAAAAAAAAAAAAAAGAAACCCTGTATATCAACTACTCTTAATTGACTATACCTTTTATCCTTTATGATAATTTCATCTTACATGCATCTTACTTGCAAAGTCTTTGTTTTACTTTCATCTGCCTGAATAACATGAATGTTTATCTTTAAAAGATTGATGAAATCTTTACATGAGGTAGTGTCCTTTGGAAATGCCCACAACTAATTTTGTTATAGATTTCAGCTGTGTTATCAGTCAACCTATTCAAGAAATTAGTCTGTTCATGGTACCAGTGGTATTGTCTGGAGGCACATGACTTTATAAGGGAACCAGTGTGAGATCAGGATAATGGTAGTACTCAGTGGTGGCCAAGAATCAAGTAAGTTCTAGAATTTCTCAGTGCTGATGATCCATATCCTACCATTTTGTTATATTTCAGGGAAGTTGAATTTCAGTTTTAATTTTTAGATGAAAATATTTTACTTATGTTTGCAAAATGTAATAACTATGTCTTTGTTAGGAGAAATATATCATATACTATACATTTTGTAGGATTATATTATAATATGTATTTTGTGGGATTTTTTTTTTATGTCTGATGTTGTAATCACTCTCAGATGTTGACATGAATGTATTTATAATTTTTTAATACTGTGGAATGGAGTTTATATTTGTAGCTCACAGATAGCTATGGGATCAGACATTGAAAGCTCAACTAAAGCTGGAATTAATACTATCTGGATACCAGAGTATTGTATAAAATCCATGCTTCACCTGATCTGCAGTTGCTGTGCAAGAAAAGCTGTATTATAGGATATGTATTTGATGTCTTAAAACCTCTGACAGATTTGAAATGTTAGGAAGACAGAAGTCCCAAATGAGATGGACTCAGTGGGAAAGCTGTAAAATCAAGGCTTTTTTTATCACGTAACAAGAAAAAAATTACATTAAAATGTTGATTTGGGGTGTCCCTTTCCCAGATAGTTGAATTGACTGTAGCACTTTTACATGAAGCAAAACTTACCTCTTTTTTAATTGGTTTTTAAATTGGTGGTTTCTTCTTGTTGCTTTAGGTTTTTGTCTGCTGAAATGCTTTAAGGATTCTAAAGTTAATTCCTTTGTATTTAAGCAATGTTAGTCAGGTTGTACCAACATTTGATTCTGGTATGATGTTTGCAGTTAAGCCAATGGATTCTCTAATCAGAAAGCTGTAAGTTAACCTAGGGTAGAAGGTTGTGATCACTCTTTCTTTTTTAATGTAAGGCTACCTCTTGGCTAATGATACTCAGGGAGAGACTCCGCTAATACCTCCAGAAGTAATGGAATATTCCATTAAACATTCAGCTGAGGTTGACATCAATACAACACTTCAGATTCTGGGATCTCCAGGAGAAAAGGCCTCTTCCATCCCAGGGTACAACAGAACTGATTCTGTAATTAGGTAAGGATGCATCTTGTGCTGTTAAGTTTGTTAAATGCTTTTTAAGAGAAGAAATGAGAATGTGAGGGGACTTCTGTGAATGCGAAAAGTAAAGAAGCAATACTGAAAAACTGAGCATTGAAAAAGAAGTGTCGTTTTTAACTACTATTAAAGTAAGGGCAAATAATTTAGAGGAATGGTTTTATAACAGTCATATTAAGGTAATGCTGTAAAAGAGCATTAAGAAAAGATGGAAAGGATGAAGTGTTTTTTTTGTTTGGTTGTTTGGGGTTTTTTTTAGGATAAGGAAAGGCAGGGTAAATATAGATGATATTTCAAGTCAAGGTGATCCAAGGAAGGACTGAAAAGAAAAATGAGAGTAAGGCATCAAAACAGATAACACTGAGTCAAGATGGGAACGCTGAAGTGACTAGATGGACCTAATACCTAATAGTCTTAACAGAGGACATGAGCCAAAATCTTGGAAATAAATAGAGATTTTTTTTTTTTGTATATCTCTACTGAAAATTCCTCTTTGATCTATCTATTACAGAAACTCCCTAAAATTATTTAAGTAAAAAAAGTTGATAATATATACTCTAAAATTCATGCAGCACATGTGCATCTTAAGCTAATGCTTTCCAGAGCATCAGTGAGCTTGTCTGCTGTGAATATGAGTTACTGCCCAAGCTTGGCAGTAGCAGAAGAATTGATCCTTGGAGCAGGAGGAATTTTTGTCAGTTATGTATACATATCACTGTTAGCCTATGAAAGAAGCACGAGAGATTTCCTTTCCCTTTTACAAGAAGGCTGATACCCACAAAGGACTCCTTAATTTGAACCCTCACACTTCAGAAGATTTCATTCAACTCTTAATTGACATAGAAGATTCTTCACCCAAGATTAGTTGTTGTCTATTTAAAAGTCTTCTTCTGGGAAGAAGCTAGAAAAAATGGATCTTCATTAACAATGATGTATGTGCCTAATGTTTAGAACCTTGAATACCGCTCACTGATACTGTTGGCTGCTTCAAAAAGTGGTCACTGAACAGGATTTCTTGATGCAGTGGTGATGGAAATAAAGTTAGATACAAATAAGGAGAGACTTGAGGATCTCTGTCAATAGCTCTGAAATATCTTCAAGATACAGACCACTGTCAACTCCTAAATTTCTTGTGCACTATCACATTCTTATACAACTTAATTGACATACTAAAAAAACTAATATTTAATGTCATTTTATAGGCTGAATTTATTAACATGATCACCTGATGTTCTGCTATTTCAGACTGTTTTTCTGCAGCAATAAACAAGAGACAAATAAGTGGTCATTTCTGTATTTGTTTTTTAGTATGCGTCACACTGTGAAAGCTACATAATTACAACTGATTTGCTCAGTAAACTTTCTTGTGCAAGGATGGGAGTAGCAGCTTTTCAAGCACTCCAAGTAGTAGTCCATTTGTCACAATGCTTGTGAGGATTCTTTGTTGCAATAATTTTGATGTCAAAGTTCACCTTTTAAAGCACAATTATGATTTTTTGGAGGATATTTGCCAGTCTATCCTGTCTGTCTCCCTCCCTTTCTCCTTGCATTCAAGAAACAATAAATTCAGGTGCTTTTTACTTGATTAGAGTTGAACTACTTTGTGTTATCCTGATCTTCTATTGTATTTGGTGAAAAATGGAAGAGTTTGTTAGTTGCTTTCCTTCTCCAAAAACCAGTCTCAGCGTCCTCATTGTATTTTAAATCTGCAGGTTGTTATCTGCTATTTTAAGAGTGTCAGAAGTAGAATCTAGAGCAATAAGGGCAAATCTCACACACCTCCTGAGCCCCCAGATGGGCAAAGATATTGTGTGGTTCCTCAAGCGCTGGGCAAAGACTTACCTCCTAGTAGATGAAAAGTTGTATGATCAGGTAAGGATGTAACTTTTATGAATTAATTGGTGAGTATTAGCAATAATATTATCCTGTGAATGCAGATGTCAGTGTAACTATTTAACAGTGCAATGCTAAAGCATTTTTAGTGTTAAATATGTTGTGGTTTATTTTGGAATTTGAAATTTGATGGTTTCTTCCATTTGTTAATTAGAAATATATAAGTTGTGAGGGGACTCTTCTTGCACATTTTGCTGTAAATTCGAGAATTTTTTTTTTTTTTGGTAGCCATCACCATAGCAGAATAACAATGCTCTCAGGCCACATAGTGGGTGAAACTCACTGACTACAGGAATTTTATAGGCTACTTCTGACTGTCCATCTTACATTTCATCTCTAATACAGGGGTTGCCCTTGATGGATGATTTAATGAGTAACCTGATGATGATTGAGATATTTAACACCATCACAAAGTAGTATACATTAGCTAATGTCATGCTACTTTCTCTCCTGTCCTCGTTCTCATTGAATATACCATGATTTCAAGGGTACATTCTTTGTAAATGGCAACCTCTTATCATGTTTGGACAGCACTAATCATGATTAGAATTTGATCCTGATTTTGCTTATCGAACTAACTGTAATCCAGCTGGCTCACAGAGGCCACTTGTCTTGAGGAGGTCCTATTGGCTCTAACTTTTCAAGAAGGAAGCCACCTCCTCCTCCTCCCCTTTATTTCCACTGTTGAAGCAACTAAGAATACTAATGCTTCAGGAGGCCCCTCCTTAACAAAAATAGGTATACCATAGACTTGCAGATATTTGGAATAGTACTATTTAGCTTTTACATAGAGCACAGCTAAGAATTTGTAAAGGTGCCAGCTGAGGAAGAATTGGAGAGCATGTTAGGATACATGTGAAAAATGATGTGAAGAAACAAAACAAAGTATCTAGGAAATGCACACATTTAGTTTGTGTTGACATATGGAAGTGATTGAAACCTCTATTTAAACCTTATGCTCAGTCATGTATATATCATGAGTTTTAAAGTTAGAAGTGCTAGTGATTGTGCTGACAGAAAGCCCCTGCACAATTACTAAAGAAGTCTTTGGATTTCACTCTTGAGAAACTTTTTTTTAATGACAGGAGAACAGGCAATTTCAAGGAAGCATATTTTAATGTGCCAGGACCATAGTGTGACATCTTTCCTAAAAGATGTGTAGATTAAAGGAACGATCTGCAGAAAGCAGATGCAGAAAAATTCAGTTGAAAATAGATTTTTAAAAGATTTGATCTAAATCAAGAGCTAGATTTATTTCTAATAATTTTTACTGCTGAATTTTGAGGAATTTTGTCTTAAATTCATGAAAACTCTTCCAGGAGGTGATTTTTGGGATCTTTCTTTTGATTATTAAAGCTTTTGAACTTTCTTTGGCCTTAAAAACTAGACATACTCAAACCAGGTTTTGTAATGAGGTAGAAACTTTTTTTTGTTTTAAGTGTTGTGCTTAAAATTGCAAAATAAATTTGGCAAAGACTTTTGTATTACAGGTATTCTTTGCCTTTGTCTATGTAACATTTGTGTAATTTAAGTAGGAAGGAAGTGACAGCCTGAAAAGAATTTGCTGACAATGATTACCATACACTTTGGGCTTCTGGCTTCTGTAAAACTCACTCATTTTAATGCTTTTCTTATAGATAAGTCTGCCATTTAGTACAGCATTTGGTGCTGATACAGAGGGTTCCCAGTGGATTGTGGGTTACCTTTTAGAAAAAGTGATCAGTAACCTGGCAGTGTGGAGTTCAGAGCAGGACCTTGCAAATGATACTGTACAACTGCTAGTAACATTAGTGGAAAGGAGAGAGCGGTAAGTTGCTATACCTCTGGAAGTCAAAAAATTTCTTTTGCTTCCTTTAAAGTTTTTTGGCCAAAGTAATCCAGATACAGGGCACTTCATATTTATGTTTCTGTAAGTCAAATTACTTTAGTAACATACTATAACTGAGAAAAACCCCAACAAACTTGTCTAACAAAGTGAGGAGTGAGACCTATATTTGACAAAACATCACCAAATTTTTATTATTGTTTAGACATGTACTTTCCTTACCTTATCTTTGTGCCTCACTCTTAAAGTGAGAAAGGAAAATTCTCCTGGTCTCCCCTCTTATTGCAAGGATTTTTGTGTTGTTAATTTTTGTTGATTAAGAGTTCAGATATTGGCTAAGCCGGTATAAAATGTGTTTTTTAAACATATAAATTTTTTTTTTTTAAATCCAGGATTTCGTGGATTCAGACAAATTACAGAAAGTTTTCTTTGGTATTGCATACTGTGAAGCAGGAAATTCATTAATGTTTTAATTCTCTGAAATTACATGCAATCATACATTCACAGTCTGATGAAAGACTGTTCTGAAGCTTGAGGATTTTAAATACTTGAGGAATTTTCTTTTAAAAAAATTTAAAACCCACAGGAACCAGTTTTGGAATAAACTGCTTATTTTATCATGACATAATGAGACTAAGCTTTTAATCCATGCAATATGTCCATTAACTCTGTGTGTGTATATGTGCATAAAACTAAAGCACTTCCCTGCTTTTCTCCCATATGACTTGATCTATTTTCAGAGTATATGCTTTAGAAATCTTAGAGCTGCGGCATTAGTAAGATGAAAATCAAAAGGCAATTTAGCCTTAGAATAAAGGAATTTTTTTCAAAAAACCTAACAAACTTCTGACAACTGCTAGCAACCCGATGTGCTCTATTCATATAATTTTGTGAAATCCTTATTTAAATTGTTTTTTCCATCTTTTAGGGCAAACTTAGTCATTCAGTGTGAAAACTGGTGGAATTTAGCTAAACAGTTTGCAAGGAGAAGCCCTCCTCTTCACTATTTGTCCAGTTCTGTGCAGAGAACACTAATGAAAGCTTTAGTTTTAGGAGGTTTTGCTCATATGGATACAGAAACAAAGCAACAATACTGGACAGAGGTAAGCTGTTTTGATGCTTTTATTACCTCCATCTTAGCAAGCAGTACAACAAGGGAATTTTATGGTGGCACAAAGTCAACTGATACAGCATATTTTTATTTTAAACATCTCACTAATTTTAAAACTTATTTTCTTTTTGAAGGTCAATAGTCATATGTCTTGTATCTAAATTGTATCTAAAACATCTCCACCTAAACAGAAACCTCTAATAATTAACTTGAAGCTTTGCGAAGCAAACGGGATAACAATATGCTTAAATGAGATTATTATAAAAGATACAATAATTTTCCTTGAACTGTACCATTTCTTCTTCTATTTTAATTTGTTGGTGTTATGAATTATTTAGTTATTCACTTAATGATAACGACAGTAAGTAAAAAGCTAACGTGGAACATAACGAAGAGCCTTGACCAGCTCTTTGTACCCTGGCTCCATGAAAGCTCTGATATTTACTACCAGAAAGGTTGGTGCAAAAAAGTAGCGGAAGCACCAGAGGAGTTTGTAAAGCATTGACCTTCTGAGAAAACCTGGCCTTTATTAGCAGAGATATGAAATTAGTGATTTAAGGTACGACTATAATGCACTGGAAGTAATTGGAAAAAACAATTATTTTTATGGAAGTTTTTAAATTGTTTCTAAACACAGCTGATGACAAAAGTGATTGCGCTATTTAGAATCGTAATATGGCAACAATAACTGTGAACATTAATCCTTATGCTTTGATTGTTAGCAATTTTTACCCCTAATACTGCATTTGGAAGAGAACCAAATAGTGTGAGCCAGAGAAGGTCATTGTCATTGGTTTAAACACTACAAAATAACCGAAAATACTTATGGAGGTACCATTTTGGAACCTGTGGGCAAGTAATGATGGATAATGAGAAGCACTAATCAGTACCACTTGAACTTATGTTAATGTGGCAGACAATAACATAATTGAACCATTGGAAACTGGAAGTGATTGATTCTTGTACTGCCATGCCAAAAGCAACCGATGAGCTTGCCAAATTACTTGAACCTTACATCTCATATGGTAGTATGCATATCTTAATGCTCCTTTTCTAAAAAATTTCAAGGTTCTTCAGCCACTTCAGCAGCGATTCTTGAATGTGATAAACCAAGAAAACTTTCAGCAGATCTGTCAGGAGGAAGAAGTGAAACAGGAAATCACTGCTACATTAGAAGCACTCTGTGGCATTGCTGAGGCTACCCAGATTGATAACGTAGCAATTCTCTTCAATTTCCTAATGGACTTCCTTAATAATTGCATTGGATTAATGGAAGTATACAAAAACACACCAGAGACTGTTAATCTCATAATAGAAGTCTTTGTTGAAGTTGCACATAAACAAATTTGCTATCTTGGAGAGGTAAATACAACCAGAAGGGGAAGGAGGGAGAAGAGTGTTTGCGTGTGTGTGTGCATACAGTGCTATTCCTTAAACAAAATAAGGTGTGGTGATTTTTGTATAGAGAAAGAAAGAATATGTGTTCACATCTGTTAAGGAATTCCTTTGTTTTAAAACATATGCTTGCAAAGATTAAAACCAGGATATTTAGACTGTTCGTATACCAATAAATTTAAGCACAATTTATCACTAGTGTAACTATGCATAGGTGACAGAAGAAGACAATGTTGAGTACTTTTTTCTAACTGTATCAAACTTTTCGAAAGTCTGGTTTAGGAGAATTGCAGCACTGTGACAAATGTATGTCAAAGAGACAGTGCTTTGGTCCTAGACAAGGCATTAATAGTAATATCAAGAAGTTAACAGTTAAAATAAATTTTGAGTCAGTGCAGTACGCTTACATCTTTGCACCATTGGCTAATTTTGCTATTGCATCTAGAAGAGTTCCAACCTATTCCAAACTGGATATGCACAGTGTAGTGTGGCTCGAAACTTCTGTAGCTGAAGTGTGTCCCCAAGGGATTTTGTTGGTAATCTAGTTTGTGAGAGTGTGTCAGCCTGTCCTAAGCCACTCATCTGGTTTTTTTTGTTAAGATTGAGAAATCGATAAAAGTAATGTTCTGCTGTTTCAATCAATAGTGTTCTGACCGTTTAAGGTGGCTGCTTCCTTGATGATTTTGTGTGCAATTGTTACAAAAAGTGGTCATATATTGAAATTAAAATCTTGAAGAATTGTCTACCAAGTAATGCCATCTTAAAACAAAGTGTGTCACTTTTAGCATATGGAAGTTTTCTTACTATGTAACATTGTTTTATAGGCCAAAGCCATGAACTTGTATGAGGCCTGCCTAACTCTGCTCCAGGTGTATTCTAAGAATAATTTAGGTCGACAACGGATAGATGTTACAGCAGAAGAAGACCAGTACCAGGATCTCCTTCTTATTATGGAGCTTCTCACTAATCTTCTATCAAAAGAATTCATAGATTTCAGTGATACAGGTATTAAGGAACTGGTAATTGCTAAACCACAACTTGTGTTCTGAACTGAAAGAACCATTGTGGGAAATGTGTTCAATCCACGTAAAGTGAAAACTGAAGTTTAGGCTTGACTAGATCAGGATATGGAAATTACTATTTAATGTGCCAGTAGCAAAGGAAGGACTTTCCCTAGTATTCTGGCATCTGAAAATGTTATTGCTCTCATAAAATAAATAGGGCATATATAAAACAGCTTGAAATTTGAATGTTGCAAGTCTGAACATGTAGTAGCAACAGTTTTATAACTAAAAGCCCATAGCGAAGTTGGAGTAGTAAATTAGTGCAAGAGGGCAGGTGGATTGTCTTCTTAGTATAGGATTCAACTTTTGTGAACTGCTGAGATCATTAAAATTCCATGATGTTTGAGGGTCTTCTGTTTCCTCTTTCACAGAAGGTGTTTTATGGTTTGTGGGTGTAATTAAGGGTACCTTTTTGTATCGCAGCCTTTTACTTTTTTACGTGTATTTGCCACTTAAAATTGCATTTCTCCTGAATATCATCTGCCAGTTCTAACTTAGCTGTTGTGCATCGCTTCTGAATAAGTGAAACCAGATTTGCATAGTTCAGATCTCACCATGTCCTATACATCTTGTACAGAAAAGAACATAGGCAGATTCAGTTTGATACCAGGCATGTTTTGATGTTGTTCATTGCTTTTCTGAGGTACATCTTAGAAGAGAGAACCTTGTGCTCCAAAATTCAGTGCTATTTCGTTCTGTTTTTTCACCCTGCATGCACAACACAAATACAGAACCAGATTTAGACTTTGTCTGTTGAATGGACAACCCAGTGCTATGTAATGTATTCTCTTTGAGATCTGGATGTTAATTGTGTGGAAAACACTGTAAAATACTTACCACAAAACTAAGTAATGTGAACAAAACCTAAATGTAATACCCAGAGATCAAATGTTTTGCAAGTTGTCTGCATACTGCTGCTGACTCAATGCAGGAAGGTCACTGCCAACTGATGGGAGAAATGTAGATCTTGCCTGTAACTGGAGAAAACTTGGCAACATCCAGACTACAGAATTTTCTGTATTTACTCTCCTATTCTTTTTCTCCTTCTGTTTATAAAAGATATTAAAACATATGTAAATATAATATATATACACACACATATATGTATAAAAATGCAGTAATACAAATTAATAATTTGTATTAACTGTCTGTGTGAAGGCACGAAGCAGCTATCACTAGAAACAAATGCAATGTTCTGTAATGGGAGGGAGCCCTCAGAGTATCTGAAGCGTTCTAGTTTAGCATGCCATCTGGTACAAGTGATTATGAAATGCTTAGTCCTAGTGAATAAATATAGAGTGATGTGACAGCCTCCACTCACTAAGTTTCTATTTTAATACAGTGCCTCATGTTTTTGTTCAGAGAGAGGGGAATAGTCCTATTTTTAAAAATGTCTTTACTATAAAGAAATAGGACTCTTCCTTCAATATGTTTAATCCTCCTTTTACACAAAATAGTTTTTGTCTTTTCTGTAGACGAAGTATTTAGAGGACATGAGCCTGGGCAAGCTACAAATAGATCTGTATCAGCAGCAGATGTTGTCTTATATGGGGTTAATCTAGTTCTGCCTCTAATGTCCCAAGATCTGCTGAAGGTAAGTATGTTTTTACACAGAGCTGCTAGAATATGAAAGCTTTATAGTAATGAGTTCCCAGAATTCATTCCTATATGCATTCTACCTCCATAAGTTGAGTTTTCTAGGCTTTATAAATGTAAATAACTGTTCCATAGTTCTAGATATTGTTTGAAAATGTTATAAGCTGAGAAGATGTATATTTGAAGGTTCTAAACAAAACTTTTTTCTTCTAAAAGCGAGTGAGCAGATCCACAGCCAAACCTGAGATGTGGCTCACGGAATCCTTTTTCTGATAGTGTCAGAAATGTGATGGGAAGCATAAACAATGATATTAGTTAAAAGTAACTCTTTATTTTTACAATACAAATGGCTTTCATATTGTCAACATCAGCAGCTTGTCAGTAGAACAGTAAACAATGGGATGACAGCATTTCATGGGGTGCACTGTGTTAATATTTTACTTTGAATCAGGGAAGACTTCTGTGCATCTCAGTTGTCCCCTCCTTACATGCCTTCTCATCCAGTACACTTGCTGAGCGAGAGGGCTGTGCCTATTTTAGATGAAACAAGTCAAAGGATGTACCCTGGAAGCCCCTCTATTGTGCTTCAAATGCTCACAAGGGTTTTACCCCACAGAACTATATTTGTTAATGTCTGAAGTAAAACTCTTAGAATTTGTGTAGAGCAGATACCAGACTCTCACCATCAACTGTTTAGCTTTCACAATCTTTTTTTATTGTACCGCAGTGTTTACTAATAAAGTTGTAGCCATTCTAATGACTGAAGTTGCTTCCTAAAATTGTCTCTTCTTCTTCAGTGCAGAGCATCAGTCCTGTCTCTTTGTACAGTTGAACACTATGCCAGAATAATTATATGATTAAATCTAAAAATAACATGTTTTTCTTTTGACAGTTTCCATCCCTGTGTAACCAATATTACAAATTAATCACTTTCATCTGTGAAATATTCCCTGAGAAAATTCCACAACTTCCAGAAGACCTCTTTAAGAGCCTAATGTACTCACTGGAGTTAGGGATGTCATCGTATCCTTTATAGAATTTGGGAGTGTTTTAAAAAATCTAAGTTGCTATAAACAACTATAAGAACATGTTAAAAAATCTCATTTTTTATCTTTTTTTTTTCCTTTTCTATCAGTATCTGTATCTATAATTGTATATTGATAACTGACTCTTACTCTGCTCTCTGGGGATTGACAGTTTCACTGTAGTGTCTATTAGAGATTCTCGTATTAGCTGAATTGCCTCTGACTTGTGCTTGGGGGCAGCCTTTAAGTAGTTTAGCATGTAAGTTTTTTCTGGCAGCCATTCCTGCCTGCTCCATTACTTCATTTCATAGTGTGTAACTTCATAAGCCTTCAGCTGGTATCCCAAAGCCATTCCTGAATTAGTTTCTCAGCTGGTAATGTAAAACATTGCTGCTGTTCTACTGGGCTGGCTCCAGAGCATTTCCTGTCAGGGTGCCAATGGGCTCTCCCTCTCATAATGAGAGTACCATTTTCTCTAATCTGTGGCACGTGTCAGAAACAGATGAGCTTGACCATAAGGGACTCTTTCTGAAAATGTTATGTCAGAGAGGGTTATGTTACCTTAGGGCCTGTAGCTAATAAAAGAAGGCAATGAAGTTAAATTCTTCTTCCCCCTCTTTTTCTAGTTGTTTGTTTGTTTGAGTTTCTTTTTATTTAATTTTTTTTTATCGACAGCTTTATAGTGAAAAGAAACCTTGGAACATACAAGCATTTAAAATATTTTCTATTTCTGTCACACCTGGGTAGTTTTTTCACAATCTAATTGAAATCTGACTTTGATTCTTTAATGCCCATTATCAGAATGAGCTCAGAGGTTTGCCAGCTCTGTCTGGAGGCTGTAACACCATTAGCAGAACAGTGTGCAAAAGCACAAGAAACAGATTCAACTCTTTTTCTAGCAACAAGGCACTTTCTTAAGGTAAGGCATCTGTGTTTCCTGTTACTTTGCTTTTTTGAATCCAGAGGCCAGACAGTGATGAAATCCAGATTAATCAGGATCACACATATAGTAAGAAACAGCCTATTACCTTAAAAAAAAAAAAAAAAGGCAGTTTAATAAGAAAGAGGGCATGAAGAACTGAAGATATTGGTCTAGAGTACAAAGGAGGATAGAGGTGTAAAGGGAAGCAATCCCTTAATGCCAATAAACAAAAGACTGAGCTTCTCAGAATGCAATTTATATTTACCAATGCTCCACATGTGAGCTCTAGAACTGATTGACAATTTTAGCAGTTATGTCTACTGTGAAAAGAAAGCTACCAGAATTGTGTGAACTGGAGACTGAGTAGAGCACTAAAACAAAAGACATAAAAAAGTTCATAGTTGAGAACTAGAAAGAAAATGCTGATATTTATTCAGTGTATCTAATAAATTACTCATTTTCTTAATATCACATTTAGTACTTTCCTTTTAGGACCATCCAGTTCAACTGAATTTTGGAGTGACCTGGTAGCAATCAGGTTCCTACTAATTAGCAACAAAGTAATTGTGGAATTTGTGTGCTTGTCGTCTGATTTTTGTATAGACTTCAGTTAAAACACATATTGTTCTTCGCTTAAGAAGTCTTTTCTTACGAAACTGATATTGGAACTTCTGGGGATTGCTATTAAAAGGATGCATCAACCAAGCTGAGAGAATGGGAAACTCTTGAATAATTTTGTCTTTATGTATCTTCTAAGTTAACATAGCTTCGTGCCTTATTTCTAAATTTCCACTTAAAATTATAATACTGCTTTTATTAATCTGTCCCCTCTTTGACTTTCTGTGAGTCTCCAAAACTTGAGGAAAAAGTTCTATGTTTTATTCTGGAAGAGCGATGGCTTTTTTCATTATTTCTCTGGCATATCTGCAGCTTTTGGAGAAAAATACAAGAGGTGCCATTTCTCTCTGAAGAACAGTTGATATAAATCAACAAAAGGTTTCAGTGCTTTAAGATATGAATGTAAGGTGTTAAACCAAGACTTAACTTCTAAAAGAACTTGGCTTCCAAATTACTGGTACCTCAATTTAAAAAAAAAAAGGGGGAGGGGGCAACAAAGCAAACAGCAACCTTGCATGCTTGTAAGTACATGTTCATTATTATTACCAGAAGTGAAGATGACTTTCAGCAGCATATGTTGATAAAGTAGAAAGTTAAGTTTACACTTCTGTAACTACTTCTGTTTTGTGATTTCAGATGGTTTTTGATATGCTGGTACTTCAGAAGCACAATACAGAAATGACAACTGCAGCAGGTGAAGCATTCTACACATTAGTGTGTTTGCATCAGGTATGGCATTTAGACACACCCTGAAAAGAAGTAATTTGTTAAAGGAGAGTAGTTAATTACTGTGTGCCTGGTAAATCATAGAATCAGTTGGGTTGGAAGGGGGAACCCTCAGGTCTGTAGTCCAACTTCTTGCTCAAAGTGGAGTCAACGTTTAATTCAGATCAAGCTGCTCAGGACTTTCTCCAACTGTGTTTTGAAAACCTGCAAGATGGATATTTCAAAGCCTTTTTAAGTGGCCCGTTATTCAAGTGCTTGATTATCCGTATAATATGCTTTTAGCACCTGCCAGACAGACTTGTTGACCCACCACTGGATTCATTCAAGTTCATCAATATCCTTAAGGAGCCCGAAACTAGACACAGTATTCCACATCTAATCTAACAAGTGCAGTGTAAAGACAAACAGTAAATACAGCCCAGTATGCAGTTAGTGTTCACTGCTGACAGGACACACAGCTGACTTGCTTAGCCTGCTGTCCCCAGGGCCTTCAGGCCCTTCTTTCAGCAGAACTGCTCCCCAGCCTGTCAGTTCCTGTATTGTTGCAGGCGGTTAGTCTGGTTCAGCTGCAGGACGTTGCATGTGTCCTTGTCGAGTTTTGTGAGTTTCCCGTCAGCTCATTCCTCCAGCCTGAGTAGGTGGCACTGAATGTCAGTCCTGCCCTTGAACGTACTGGCTGCATTCCCCAGTTGGATTTCATCTCAGACTTGAGGAGAGTGAATTTCCTCTCCTCATCCAGGTCACTGACTAAAACACTTAAAGGGACAAAGTCCAGATGAGAGCTCTGAGTGCTACTTGTAACCATCTTTCAGGTGGAATATGAGCCATTAACCTCAAGCCTTTATAGGCTGATGATAGAGGTGTGTTTTCACCCATGTAGTAGCCCACCCATTTAGACAAGAAAATGCCCTCTTAGTTACAAGGATGTTGTGTGTGACTGCTAAAGACTTGCTAACATCAGGCATCCACTGCTCTTTGCTTATCCACAGATGTAGTCATTTTGTCACAGAAGACACTTTGGTAAAGCATGATTTATCACTGGTAAATCCACACTGGCTCTTCTCAATCCTTTTCTCTTTCACATGCCCAGAGATAGCTTCCAGGAGTACTTCATAATTTTCTCAGTCATTCTAAGATGATAGAGAGCAACCTTGTAATGATGTGAGCAAGCTTTCTGAACCCTTGGATAGATTCTCTCAGGTCTCGTGAGCTTGTATGCATCAAGATTTCTCAAGAGATTACTGGGTTGATCCTCTTTACTATGGATAGTTCCTCTCCTCCTTGAACCCTGTCTCTAGTCACAAAGGTCTGGAAAAACCTGTCAGTGAAGACCAAGGCAAATAAAGCATTGATTCCTTCATCCTTACCTTTTGTCTACTATCATTAAAGCAGCTGTTCCCATTCAGCAACAGAACCCATATTTTCTGTATTCCTTCTTTTACTGTTAAAGTACTGGTAAAAGCTGCTTTTGTTGTCTTTGATGTCCCTTGCTAAATTCAGCTTTAGATGAACTTCATTTTTCTGTCATTGTTCCTATCCAGACAATGTTTCTACTTTCCTCCTTTGTAGCTGTCCCTGCTTCTATTTCCTGCATGTATTGTCCTTGCACTGCAGTTCAGTCGTGAATTCCCTGCTTAGCTGAGTTGGTGTCCTTACATGTTTATATTGCTTTCTTCAGTGTCTGGACAGGCCATTCTTGTGCTTGGAAGAGGTTGTCCTTAAAGACCTGTCAGCTCTCCTGAGCTTTTTGTTTCCAGAGCTCACTCCCACAGGATACCACCCACCAGTCTCTTGAATAAGGTGAAATCTGCTCTCATGATGTCCAGGTTCTGTACTTGGCTGGTAACCCATCTGGTATTTGAGCAAATGTCAGAGAGATAATCTCTTTTAAGTCTGATCTGGAAACTTCCTCAAGTTGCTTGAAGATGACTCAGTCCACTAAAAACCACTGATTTGTAGCAAGACCCCACCATGATGTCATCTTTGTCACCTCTCCTCTGATCATCATCCATAAACACTCAACTAGATTGTTGCCCTGTCTGTAGAAGAGCATCCTTAATTTGAGCTGTCCTTTCACAGAAGTGGCAAGCTTCTGTCGTCTTCTTCTGTAAAGAGCCTCCATCTGTCCCTTCAAACACTCCAGTCATGCCACCTGTCCCACCACATTTCAGTGCCTGCAGTGATGTTGCAGCTCTGTACCTGCACTTGGAGCTCTAGCTCCGTCTGTTTCCAAAGCTGAATGTATTGCTACACAGACATTTGAGACTGGCCTCCTTTTATCATGTTTAATACTTCCCAATGAGCACCATTAAACCCATCACACTTCTTTGTGTTCTTAATACTCTTGGTCTCTGTCTTCTCACTTACCTGCAAGCTGTTACCACCATCCCCCAACATACCCTTTAAAGCCCTTCCTGCCAGGTTGGCAAGCCTTTGGCAAAGATGTTCCTAAGCCGCTTTGTCCTAGGGATCCTCTCTCTTGCTAGCAACCTTATCCCTCAAAGAGGGACTTGTGATCATGTAAGACAAAAAGATCCTATGATATCACCCAGAGGTGGCAAATTCATGTTGTGTCTACCTCCACCCAACCCCTCACTGGCAGAATTGAAAGGAACGCCATTCTGGCTCCTGTGTCCTTCACCCATGCTCCCAGATCTCAGTCACTTTGGAATCACTCCAGTTTTGTGTGTCCCTTGGCAGTGTCCTTCTAGTCATGTTTGACATGTTTCTTTGTTGTCTATTTCTGTCCAAGTAAGTATGACAGTAAGTAGGAAGCTCTTAGAAAGGAATCTAACCTCTCTATCCCAGAGAGGGGACCCTAGAAAATGGAGACCCTGTGGGAGGAGATGGTTGGTATGGCACACCAAACACAAGACAGGCATGAAAAAAGAGCAGTCCAGTTTGCAGGAATAAACCTATGCTAAGAAAGAGCCAGAAGGCCCTTTGAGTGTGTGCCTGAAATTGTCATCTTACTCTGCACTGCAAAGCACTGTACCTAGCTTTGAAGACTTCTTTAGCCTTACAAAAATACCCAGCCTGGATGAAGGACTTTATCTGGTTTGGAGGTAGGTGAAAGGCTGTGGGGTCCATAGTTGCTGCTGGTACAATAGTCAATGAAACTGGCTAACAGGTGAGGAAGTATTGATAGTTTTCTGTCACAACTTTTATTCTGGATCTTGTCCTGATGAGAGAAGTTGTATATACTGTATCTTTTTTTTTTTTATGTTTATTTAACAGGCTGAATATTCAGAGCTAGTTGAAACATTGCTATCAACTCAGCAAGATCCAGTAATTTACCAGCGGTTAGCAGATGCCTTCAACAAACTTACTGCAAGCAGCACTCCTCCTACACTGGACCGTAAGCAGAAGATGGCCTTCTTAAAGAGTTTAGAAGAATTTATGGCAAATGTTGGTGGACTTCTCTGTGTAAAATAAACAACAAAACTCTATGCCTAATTTAGACCCTTTCTGCGAAATGCACTGAGAAATGCTGAATGCTGACTAAATCTTGTACCTGTCTCTGGGTTCTTTGCAGCCATCTCAGATTCTAGAGAGCCTGGAAGTTTGAACATAACACAGTGGAATAGGAGAGGTCAACTTTGAATCAGCTTCTGCTATTATGTGTTAGCTGCAATCTGTCATACTTATGTGTGGGAGAGAATGAACAGAAAATTTGAATTTAATTTTTTTCCATATATGTGCAAACAGATATGGGCACAAGGAAAAATAAATGCAGTGCCTTTCCCCCTGCACTGGTTTAAAATATGAGTGGTCATATAAACATACAGATTTCTTTTCTACCCAAAATCATGTTAGAGTGTGATGTAGATACATGTAAAGCTCTAAACAGTTTAGCTGATTTTAAGCTTTATTTTTCTTCTCTTTGAGTTTGTGTTCCAATGGGGAAGAAAAACCAAATGGCATTTTAACTTGTGTTCAGTTCTGTTTTTCTACATCAACCCAACATTGCATGTTTAATGCAATGCATGTTTTTACATTATGTTCTGCTGCCTAAAGTTCAAAGAAAAAAAGGTGTATATTTTTGTTCCCCTAAAATGAACTTTAGGAACTGTAGCCATTTCATTGCCTTAATTTAAAAGAAGAAAAAAGCTCATATACTTTAGGTAAGAAATATAAGGCAAGATTTAAGGCAAGATTTGACTCTTCAGAGTTGGTTTGGGATGTTGGCACTGAGCTGCTGTGTACGTGTTGCAGCCTTTCATGATGATGTGTCATTTTGGAATGAGTGTCTAATGCAAGGTTCGTGTGTAATTTTACTTTCAGTATCTGTTTTGATTCTTAAGGGGTTGCACGACACTGCAATGTATTTCTACACTGAACTGTTTGCTTAAGCAATAACAACCCAAAAGGTGTGAACTACCGGCAAACTTTGTAAAGTTGGGGCATTAGCTAAAACAATTATGCTAGCACAGGGGCATCAGACCCTTTTACTCAAGGTTTGTGTTTGTTTGACTCCAGCAGGGAAAGGTAATTGGGGATGTCTACTGGTGTGGGAGATTTTTAGTTTTGCTGAATCTAGCTCCACTTCTGCAGAGCCCTCCCAACTGCTCTGCTCTTGCTTGGTTTTTTGTATCAGCACTTTAGCTATTAGAATAGCAGAATATAGTGCCCTGATTATAGGGAACCAACAAGGCAGAGCTGCACATGAGTATGAAAGCAAGGCCTGCTTTTCTCCTGTCATGAGCCAGAGAAAACTGAAGCAAACACAAATGCTGCATGTCTAGTAAAATTATTTTTGTGGAAATACATGGAGGAAGAAGTGGGCCCTTCTGTTTAAGATCTCTGCTAGATTATGCTGTTGAATATTTCCTATGTGTTTTTTAAATTTATATAAAATGTACGGTATACATCTTTATATGGCAATGTGTAACTTCATGTTTGCAATTCTGTGGCATTCTTCAGCTATTCATCTCAAAATTAGTCACAATAGCCAGAATTTTTAAAAGACACAAATCTCTAATATTGTACTATAAGTGATCTAAGGCTTTTTTTTTTCCTTAAGTTAAATTCATATGTATCTCAAGCATGGATCCACAAGGCCAAAAATGCCATCTCTTTATTATACTTTTCTCTTTTAATTGATGTGAAAACTAAGCAAGGGCAGATTTACACATTACAAAGTGACCATAAAACTTGTTAGATAATAATGTACCTTCACAGCAAGTATTTTATTTCTAAGATATTTGCATAGTATTTTAGAACAGGAGTATTACTCTCAATTTTTTCTTGAAACTAATGCATTTCTTTAAAGGATTTCTCGACTGTGCACTTGCACAAAAGATAATGATCTTGGCAGATCCTTCTGTTTCAAACTGTTGTGCTGGCTGGTTTTTTTTTTGTTTTTTTTTTTTAGTTGTCTGGGATTTGCTATGGTTTTTGAAACTGCTTCTGGAGTTTTTCTGAGTTTGTACATTGGATGGGGCAGTGGTTCTGAAACTCATTTTTTCCAGATGAAGGGCACTGAAGCCTGGGAACATAAGCAGCAGTAGGAGCTGCTAGTTTGTTATGATGTGCTCGATGTCAAATACCTTGACCAAAGTCTTCAAAGACATCATAGCAAATACTTTCAATTTGTTTGGATCTGACTGAATAACTGATTTCACTAATTTCTTTTATACCTAGCTCTGTCACTATTGTTTCATAAATCTTAAAGCTGACTCACTATTTAAAAATATTTATTAACTTAAAAATTTTGAAATCCTCTTGCATATTGTAATTAAAGAATTGGAGCACAAATTGAGTTCATATTCAGGACAAAGTAATGTGCATACCCATTATTGTTCTAATCAGGCCCATTGTGTTGTAACAATCAGAGACACATAGCATCTTCTGAGTATCAAGTCTTGCTTAAGTATGAATACCTACTTTTCAAAGACTAGTTTTGAAGGTTATTTAAGAATTTCCTTTTCCCTTAACATAAAACAATATTTCATGTTAAAGGGAAGCTGTCCTAGTAAGGGTTTGGGGTGTTTTTGTAATTTTCCTGCTTCAATGTTATACTTCCCTGTTTCTTAATTTTTCTTACATTCTCATATATTCAGCAGGGATCTTTCCATGCCATTTTGTGTTTCTTTTAGAGCACATTCTAAGATGTCTCCGCTCAGTGACATCAGTGAAATTGGGAATAAGTTTTATTCATTCATACTCCTGCTGGCTTGGTGGCTGCTTCTATCTGAACTATTTGGCTTCTATATCCCTACTAAAAGAAAAAGATAAAAAAAAAAGTCCTTCACTGATCTTCTACACATCCAATTGCTATAAATCGGCATGTGGAAGTTCACTGAGGTCCACAGGAAAGACTCATAGACCATTTTTAATGAACACTGAGAGCTGGCTCCATAAAGTGTTCTAAAAGTCTTACAGCATCACTGCATTGATTTTTCCATTCACTGTGCAAAGTGAATAATGGTTCTAAATATGCACCTGTTTCTTGAAGGAAAAAAAGGCAACTCAAACCGAATTATAAATGCTGCATGATATAATTATAACTAATGTATTTGTCTGGACTTCTCTTGCTAAAACAGATTATTGATCCAGTGTTTTCATTCTGAGAGCTAAAAATCAAGTAGCTTTCCCATTTTGCTATCTCCTTCCCATTGTAATAGTTCTAGTGCTGGCATAATAATTTTCTGTTGTTCAGCATAGCATTTTTGATGTTGACAAGCATGACCATCGAGTTAAATCATAAAATTCAAGACCTAGAAAGCACAGATGCGTATGGACAGGCAGAAGTGGACTGCTACTTCCACATGAAAACTCCACTTTCACATGCATTTATGCCTTAATTAACTTCACTGAATCACTGCCAGAATCTGCTACTTTTTGCCTAGAGGTTTGTGTTTCACTGTTTAGTGGTAAAGAGCTCACCTTTTTCTCAGGAACAAGAAACTTGCTTTCTCAGCATGTCCAAATCCTACTGGTTGAAGGAGGGGGGTTTGAACTGGAGTCATCTCTTTCATAGTGCATAGTGCTCACTAAAGCCCCAGTGTTTATCTGGGCAAATCCCTTTATGTCTAGGCCATGTAGTTCTAGAAAATAAGCTTGCTCAGAGCAGTCAGTTGTCCATTTAAAATATAAAATTCTTTAAAAGGGAGAGCAAATTCTAATTTGTGGTCTGTAAAACTATTAAAAGTACGAATTGCAGCATTTCTCTTGTAAAACACTTCAAGTAACTTCAGTTTTGGTTAAGTAATTACATAAGAAGGAGTGTTTGTTGTTTTTTTTTTTTAATGGAAGTAGCTTGATGAATATAAGCGCAGGAGTAGGAGCCAGGCTCCTCTAATTTTCTAATAAGTTTTTCCGCTGGATCCTCTGTGGCCATTGGCAAGTAGCTAGAACTGTGTTGTTGAAATAGCATTAACATCTGCCTACCTCACAGGGATGTTGTGAGGATTAGTTTATGCGTATAAAATCCTTTGAGGATCTGAGATACTATGTAAATATTATATACTTTAGTTTGTGAGGTGTAAGATTTACTGTAATGAGAACAGATTTTCATAATGATAAAGCCCAGGAGAGGCAGCAGTGGTGCAGTATTCCCCAGGACTGATCTACTGCAGTACAGGAATGCTTGTTGTAAATTGTCATTATTTCAATTACAGCTGATTGAAATAGTGGCTTCTTCTTCAATAAGGTGAGATTCCCCACCAGTGTGCCTCAGTTCTGGTCTACACAGGGAGAGGACAGTTGTTGATTTATTCAGGCTTTGGTGCCTCTACTTGTGACAAGTGCTGCTTGTGGTAGGGTTTTTTGTTTGGTTTGGTCTTGGGTTTTTTATACTTTTCTGCAAGGAACAAACACCATGTCTGTTCTACCATGTCTGAAACACCATTTCTACCATGTCTGCCAGTCTCTCAGTATAACCAAAGCCTAATGATAACAACTAAATTTAAGGAGCCATCTCTGCCCCCCCCCTCCTCCCACCCCGTAAATTTGCATTTAATATGAGTAGATTATGCCCTTTTTACAGCAAATTAGATTAATGCTTTCTGGCACTGATCATGAAGCAAATCATGAAGTGTGTTTTGCTCTAGGGCCTTAAGCTCAGCTCTCTTAAAAAACACTTTTTTCAATATGAGATTTCTTGGGGCCCTAGCAACTGAGATATCCCTGGCTTTCCCTTTTCCTCAGTGGGTTGAAATTGATTCTGTTTTTTCATTCCTTCCCTTTCCCTGTCCTGCTTTTCCTGTCCTTTTGAGCCATTCTAAAGTGGATTTGGATGACCACTCCAACCTCAATAGAAAGATACTACCCATGTGATTTTCCAATCTGTTACAGCTTGATACTTGAAATTGATAAAAACCTTTCTAGTAGCATTCCCCAGCATGTTTCAATCTCCCATTGAACCATTCTAGAATTTATAATTATGAAAAAAATATTATCCTCTTTTATTTGTTCCCTTTGTGCAAAATAAGGAACCTCCATGCAGTGAACATGCAGTTTTAAGGCAATAAATGCTAGTACTGCTGTTGGTCAAGTGTGTAAATATTTTGAATGTATCATTCAGTACTGTGTTGAGTTTATATATTAAAAACACAGGGATTGAAGTGCTAGTTGATTTCAAGTATTGTTTTACCTGTACAGTTGAAAATATGAAGTTGCATAGAAGTATTTCACAATTTATTGCAATAAGACTTGGGAAATGGCTGTGTAATCAAGCCTTATCACAACTGATTTTTCAATTTTGAAATGATCACTTTGTGTATTTTTAAGATCCATAAGCAGGAGAAGGATCAAATTGTTTTCCACTAAAGACTTTTATTATTTTGTTTTGGCCATGTGTGATTTGTGTGTATTCTTGTTTAATATTTTTCTAAAATCTCATCTGTGTTGAATCCCTTTAATAGAACTTGTTATAACTCCTTATGGTAGAAACAAAAATAGGA